ACGACCAGGTCGGAGCCTACTACTACTACTACTACTACTACTACTACTACTACTACCGCGACTGCTACGTCTACGACGACAACTACTACTCCTGCTGCTGGTGCTGCCGCTGCAGCTGCCGCTCCTGCTGCTACTGCTGCTGCTACAGTTACTGCTACTGCTGCTGCTATTAGTCTTACTGGTAATGTTATTGGTATAATTAGTATTGTTTATATTCAGATATTGGGACTGTTATTGTGATCAGCCTTAGTATTCTGACTATTATGATTATTGGTGGTTATTAGTATGCTGCCTCTGGGACTCTAGGTGAATTCCTCCTACAGCACCGGTACCGAACTGAGGTATTCAGGGTTTACGGTTAGGGTATTCATAACCTTTTGTGAACCCCAGAAAGTTGGAACATGGATGGATAACTGGTGCTGGGAACTCCCATATTTGACTTTAAGGGCATGAGGATAATGATGTTCAAGCTTTCTGGCTTGTATTGTAACCCTGCTTATACATACGCTAAGCCCTAGACCCTAAACCCTAAACCCTAAACCCCTAGACCCTAAACCCACGAAGCTCCGAGTAGGCGTGGAGCGTGCGACGGGCAAGACAGCCCTCATGCGAGCCTGCGCTGCGGGCAGCGTGGAGACGGTGCAACTCCTTCTGGATGCTGGAGCTGGCGTCAAATTTCAGGAGCAGGGTCACGATCAAAAACCCTAAACCCTAACTTTAAGAGCTAGGCAGGGCTGGGGACTAATTCAGGTCTTCCCAGTCATAGCCTGAAGCCCTCGACGGTATACCTTACCCCTGAAACTACCAACATTCATAGGGACCCTTAGGGGGGGTAATAAGGACCTAACCCTAAACCCTAAGCCCTAACCCCCCCCCCCCCTTAAGGGTCTCTATGGAAACCTGCGTCCTTGGCCAACCTTGGTTTAGGGTTTAGGTTTAGGGTTTAGGGTTTAGGGTTTAAGGGCCTAGGGTTATGGAAGTTCTGGATTTCGTAGATCTCTGGCCCTGGCTCACCTGCGAGTCAGGGTGACCCGAGCCCGAATATAGAAGCCTCAGTAGTTACCCATATTCTTCTTTAAGGTTCTTTTTTGATATTTAAGGTATCATATACCCCCCCACGTCCTATTCGAATTAGAATTGTTGAGGCCCCTATATGGCATGGTAAGATTTTTCCTAGGTTTCAATTAAGAGCCCTTAAACCAGCGTGCCCCTAAATGAAACCCCCTAGCCGCATCCCTAAACCCAGGTAGTTTTGAGTGTTGGATGTCTTCTGTAGGACCTTGACGCAATGACAGCTCTGCACCATGCGTCTGAGGGAGGCCATGCAGAGATCGTGCGTCTGCTGCTGGCAGCTGGTGCCTGCAGGTACGTGAAGGGCTGGTATCTGGGCCTCGTTTAAACTTCAAACTTTAACCTGAACCCCATACCCTGCTTATTTTTGAAAATAACTTCCTTGTTCCTGGGTTCAATGATTTTAATTTACGTATTTTTATTTGCCTGAGATGGGAGCAACGCTTGTCTTAGATCGGATCCAAGAGAAAGACAGGTATGGCATCACGGCTCTTGCTTCTGCAAGTAGCCGAGGTCATGTCGATACTGGGCTGTCGTTGAGGAGATGGATTTAGGTTCGTGGTTTGATAAGCGAGGATTGACATACTGCAAGATGGGATTCGTAGGGATTTTTTCGATATGTCACGGGTTTGTTGTAGCGGGTAAGGGACTGAGTCGACGTTCTCACAATGAGAAAAGAATACACCTTCCACTGGCTAACCAAGAGCCAATTACAGAGCCCATATGCAGCCTTATAAGACTCTTACGCAGCCCCCTTTTCCGAGTTCGAACCCTAAACACAAACCCTAAGCCCTAAACCCTAAACCCTAAACCCTAAGCCCTAAACTAGGAACTAACAGCCCCAGGATGTCGTCCGTTTGCTGCTCGATGCGGAGGCCCACATGCAGTTGAAGACAAGTGACTGCGCGCTGGCCCTGAGGTGTGCGTCCGAGAATGGCCGGATTGAAACTTGTTCCTGGTGGGAAACTTAGGATTTTGGGGCATGGGCTTTAGGTTTTGGGAGTTTAGGGTTTAGGGGTTTAGGGGTTTAGGGGTTTAGGGGTTTAGGGGTGTAGGGGGTTTAGGATTTGGGGTTAAGGGGTTCATGATATGAGGAATTGGTACCATATAGTAACTTAGTATAGATGTCTAGTATTGTGGCTCGTAGTTCTTTGACAGCAGCCCAGGACACCGTGCGGTGGCTGCTGGGAGCCGATGTTGACAAAGGCCTTAAGTATTGCTACTGGGCTTTGGAGTACCATACTTTAATACTTTTTGTTTGGACTTGTTCCTTAAAGGAACCAGTATGAAATAAAAGTCTACACTTTTTTCTCCCTGGTTACTTCAAAGCCCAGGCTATGGTGCCATGTCAGCTATGATATCTGCGGCTGACAAGGGCCATGTTGATGTCGTTCGCTTGCTTCTGGAGGCCAGTAGGGATAACCAGCTGCAAGACCAGGCCAGCCGAAAGGAGCTTCGCTGTTATGGCGATACAGCACTGATTAATGCATGTCACAAGGGCCACCTGGAGGTCGTGCGCTTGCTCTTAGACACTGGGGTGGACACAGATGTCAGAGACTGTGACGACAGGACGGCCCTAATGCATGCAGCAGAGAACGGCCGTGTGGACATCGTGCGACTTCTATTGAAGGCTGGAGCGAACAGGGACTTGAAGAGCAGATACCTAAACCAAACGGCCCAAAGCTGTGCGGCCGAGCGGGGCCACGATGACATTGTGGAGCTGCTGCAAGGTACCGAGGGCACGAGTGCTGCAAAGAGTGTCATCTCTATCTGAAAAAAGCTACATCTTTGTCCCTAAACACCAAACTACCAACACAGCCTGAACCCCCCAAAACCCCAAACCCAAAACCCTTCGCTCGGCTTGAGAACTTATGTACTCTGAGACCCTATGATAAGCATAAGCCGAAGAAAGACAAAGTAGACTGTTAGTAGTTATTCCGACCCCCACGACTCCTGCATTACCTGGATAGATCCGTGATCGAACCCTTAAAGGAACCCCATTCTTAGAAGTAAGGCCCCTACAACTCCCCATAAGACTCCAACACCACTTACAAAACCCTTTTTGGGTTCAGGGTGTAAGGTTTAGGGAGTGAGCTGTTCGGCTCTGGCTTCTCTTTGAATCTTCTGTCATGCTACTGCCTAGAGTGATGAAGAACTGTTGTGACTGACTTGTACTGCTTGATTGCTTGCTGTTATCGTCCCTAAACCATATAAGCCCAAGCCTGATTTGAGCTACGGCCGTAGCTGAGACCCGTTTTGTTTGCTAGAGTGTTCAAGGAGGTCCATCCTAAACCCTATGAGCCCTAAAACCCCAAAGCCCTAAACCCCTAAACCCCTGAACCCTAAGCCCTAAGCCCTAAAACCCTAAAGGGGCTGTTTGCCTTCGGCGCTGCAGGAGGGGAATCCGGATGCCGAGTAGCTCCGCTGTGAGGACCGCCGGAGTTTCCGCATGAGAGGACTACGGTTTCAGGCTTTAGGGTTTCAGGGTTTAGGGTTTAGGGTTCAGGTTTAGGGTTTAGGGCTTCGGGTTTAGGGTTTAGGGCTTAGGGCTTTGCGTTTAGGGTTTAGGGTTTCGGGGCTTAGGGTTTAGGGTTGAGGGTCTTGCGGCTGCTATTGCTAAATCTAGATGCGTTGTTCTTCTTCGTTTCGGCGCAGCTGTGCCCCAAACCACAAACCTGCACCCCCCAATCCCACAACCCTAAAGCCCAATCCTTAAACCCCAAAGTCTAAGCCCAAAAACCTAAACTGCAAACCCCACAGCCCCCAACCGTAAACGAAACCCGAAGTGCCGTGGGCTTTTCCGGTTGTGGGGACGTCTTGAGTAAAACGAGTTAGGTTTGGAGTCTAGGGTTTTGGGGTGTAAGGTTTAGGGTTTTGGGTCGAAGGTTTAAGGTTGAGGGTCACGACACACCTACAACACATGCATCATCATGCGACCAACGGCGTAAGTTCAAAGGCCCATACAGAGGCCCTACGCAAGTTCTACAAACCCGGCACGTTACACCCAATTCCCAAGGCACCCAGAACCGCCGGAGGCTTCTGGGCGCAGCAGTTTTTTTTTTGATTTTTTTTAAAATCCCCAGGCCGCCACAGGGTTTAGGGTTTAAGGGTTCAGGGTTTAGGGTTTAATGGTTTAGGGTTTGTGGTTAAAGGGTTTTAAGGGTTCAAAGGTCAATAAAGGCAATCCTGCATCTTTGTGAATATAAACTTTGATTCAGAACTTGTGAAATCTAAAAAACACGAATAAACTGTAAATCATCAATATCAGATTTAGATGAATATTCAGTCATATCATGAGAAATTGGAAAATCCGTATTAACAGGGTTCATATTTCTATACCTTCCCATACTAAGTGGCTTTGGGGCTTAAGGTTTGGGTTTTGGATGCGAAGCCCGAAACCGGAAGAAGAAGGCTCATCGGGTCGCCCGTTTACAGTAAGAAATCCAAGCGCAAGGACACAAAACGATCCCTAGAGGACCCTAAACCCCCAACCTCGGACCCTACTCCCTTGAACCTTTAAACCCCGAAAACCCTAAACCCTAAACCCCAAACCCTAAACCCTAAACCCATGAACCTTTAAACCCTGAAAACCCCTTAGCCGCTTCAACCCACTTAGAACTCCTATAGACCCCTTAACGGGGCCCTAACTGAACTTTAGCATTGACACAGTAAACCCCTAAACCCTAAACCCTAAACCCCCCTTCAACCCTCATAGAACTCCTATAGACCCCTTCACGGAACCCCCAGCTGAACTTTAGCATTGACACAGTAAACCCCTAAACCCTAAACCCTAAACCCTAAACCCTAAACCCTAAACCCTAAACCGTACAGTAAAGCCGCAGCCTTTCTGAAGATCCGTCCGCGAGGTAAAGGCTCTTTCGACGAAGTCGTCCGCGTGAACGCGAGCCCGGGTATTTGAAAGGATCAGGGGAGGTCGGGGTGTAGGGTTTTAGGGTTTTATGGGAAGGAAAAGAGTTTAGGGTTTAGGGTTTAGGGTTTAGGGTTTAGGGTTTAGGGTTTAGGGTTTAGGGAAGGATCGAGGCTGCTGAAAACGGGGCGGAAAAGAGTTTAGGATTTGGGGTTAAGGGTTTAGGGCTCTACTGACTTACCGCGGTACCTAGCCACTCCCCTGATCCGTTAAGTATATTTTATACCACCGAAATCCAGACGGCTCATGTCGCAGACCTCAATTGCCGGAAAGACGATTTAGGGTTTACGGTTTAAGACGGTTTAGGGTATAGGGTTTAAGGGGGTTTAGGGTTTTAAAGGGTTTAGGGTTTAAGGGTTTAGGGTGTAAGGATTTAGGGTTTAGGGATCAAGGGTTTAAGATAAGGTGTATGGTCAGAGTCCAGGGTGAGGGTTTCGGGTTGCAAGACTTCTGGAAGCAACCTCACAACCTAAACCCCAAGCTCAAGTGTTCGTTGGTCTTGCCCGCTAGCAATTTCCTGCGCCTGCCTCTGCAGACCTAAAGCCCATACCTTTTTAGATCCGCTGTCGACCCTTACCGGGGCTCTTAGGGAGTATAACTGATACCCAACATGTTCATAAGCTAAACCCTAAGCCCTAAACCCTAAACCCTAAACCCGTTTGGGCAAAGAGACGGCTGCGACGTGTGCTGTCTCGAGGCCTGTGGGACCTGCCAACCCTGAACCTTGAAACGCAAAGCCAATTCAGAAGGCCTCTGGGTCCCAGTTTGGGGGTCCTTGTATTCCTAATACTCTGTTTTTTTGGATCACCTAAACCCTAAGCCCTAAACCCTAAACTCCCTATGCTATGTTGCAAGTCCGGCAGGCCTCATGCGTTAGGATGTAGCAACGCAGCCATCTGCTCTTTCCATCTCCGCCTCGGTACTAATGTATGATACTTAAGGGGTGAGGGGATGCAGCCACAAACGTGGTTACAAGTCGTAATACAGAGGCCTTGACTATTTTATCACCTATATTATTTGGGGGTTCCAACCCTCAACCCTTTTTGTGCTCACAGACTGTCTGCAAGGCAGGATCGGGATCTTCGGCCGTCGGGGAAGTAGTTTGGGGTTTAAGGTTTAGGGTTTAGGGTTTAGGGCTTAAGGTTTAGGGTTTAGGGTTGAGGGTTTAGGGTTTAGGGTGTAGGGGTCTTAGCAATTACCGACAAATGAAGGGGATAATATCGTCTTGAAATCTCAATGTATTTGCGTTATGATGTACACCAAGACCCTATTCTAATGATTAAGGCCCCTACATTATCTGGGGCCCCATATGGATTTAGGGCATACCTGCCTGGCAGCAACAGGCAAATTATGGTCTGGATAGGCGAGAATATTACTCAGTAAGATTAGGATTAGTGTTGATCCTTGTGCCGGAGAAGATGCACATCGTGTGCGAGCAGCGGTTGTGGCCGTGTGTGAGCATTTTCGGCTGGCTTTTTCGCTACGTGCAAGCGCATCAGCCATGCCCTTTTACTGTAGGCACTTTGGGGGCTGTCCCCAATGCCCCCAGTGAGTGTGGCAGAGTGCCATGTAGGCAATACCTCTACCCCCCAAGCTCGACGAACTAGCAATGACCACCTGAAGCCTAAAAGCCCTAAACCCTAAACCCTAAACCCCAAATCCTAAACCTTAAACCCTGAGTCCCTAAACCCTAAACCCAAAGCCCTTAAGGTCAGCTGGAAAGGGTAGAGCCCTGAGCCACAGATGTCCAAGCCTGACGAGACCCAATTCATGCAGTCAACGCCTCAATTCTGAAACCCGGCAAATAGGAGCCTTAACGGTTTAGGGTTTAGGGTTTAGGGTTTAGAGCCTTCATGATCTCGGTAGAACAGGAGGAGTTAGGGTTCTATGGTTTCATAACTCTACTTGCAGAGTTCACACGGCTTTTTCGGCTTCAGTTTCAAGATTGCTGGTGTGTCATTGAAGATCGTGAGTCCAGCTTGCCGGCATACTATAGAGGCCTGAATAATTACCTATATTCATTCATATGGGGTTCCTTACTATAACCATAGTATAAAAAACTCCAAAACCCTATTCTAATTATTAAGGCCCTTCAACCCTAAACCCTGAAAGTAGCCCTTATAGAACCCCTCAAGGAACCCTTTAAAGGAACCCCCAAAGCCCTGTTCTAATTACTAAGGCCCCTACATGACACCCCTAGCCCTAGCGGGGCTCGCGGTGGGGGGTTTTGCCGTTATAGCAGGGCCAGAGGCTTCACTTAGTAGGATTGGTAGTAGGGTTTAGGGTTAAGGGTTTAGGGTTTAGGGTTTAGGGTCTAGGGTTTAGGGTTTAGGGTTTAGGGTCTAGGGTTTAGGGTTTAGGATTGTTTGTGGTTCACGGGTTATGAGCTGTTGTAATGTGGTTCCTAGGTTCCAGGCCTCAAAACTCAGCATGACTATTTGTGGTTCATGGGTTGTAGGCTGTGTTTAACAGGATTTGTGACACATGGGACTTTCCGAAAAGTAGGGGTACCTTATTTTGGGGTCCTTATAATAAGGATCCTACTATTTAGGGTACTATATTAGGGTCCCCTATTTTCGGAAACCCCCACATATTAGAGCAGAGCTACGCTGCGAGATTGGTTTCGAGGGGCAGGGTATCATACACATGACATAACTACACTCTCTAACTAAGAGTCTGATACCGTACGGTATAAAAAAAAACTTGTTGAATAGGCCCGACAGGCGTCGGGCTCATATCTGTGTATATAAATATACAACGTTATATATATATATATATATATATAGAGAGAGAGAGGGGTAGTATTGAACATCTTTTTCTCTTGCTAAGCCACGGAGCTGTGCAGG